ACTCCTCTGCTTTGGTTTCTCAACGTGATGATCGTCAGCGTTCTCGCAAACCGGGCAAAGGTCGTCCCAAGTGTGATCACTGTCACAAACTGGGTCACACAATTGACCGTTGCTATGTCTTACATGGTCGTCCCCCTCGCCCTACTACTGCTGTTGCCCACACTGCCTCTCCTGTCTCTACTGCATCTGGTGCTACCCCCTCTGATAGTTCTGGCTCTGGGCCCCCAGCTCTCTTCAATAACTTCCTTAAATGGTATGAAGAACGTCAAGCTTCCAATTCCACTGCTTCTGTTGCGCACACAGGCCCTTTGTTTGTTGGTCTCACTCACTCCACCTCTCTTGGCCCTTGGGTCCTAGATTCTGGTGCTACCGATCATATTTATGGTAATCGGTCTTTTTTCTCATCTCTTTCTACCTCTACTTATTTACCCTCTATCACTATGGCTAATGGTTCTCGTGCCACATCTCATGGTGTTGGTACTGTCCATCTTTCTCCTTCTCTCTCCATTGACAATGTCCTTAATGTCCCAGAGTCTCCCTTTAATTTATTACCCCTTAGTCGTCTTACTCGTTCTCTTGATTGCCTTATTTCTTTTACCAAAGATTCTGTTTTCTTACAGGATCGGAGGTCGGGACGGATGATTTGCACCGGATGTGAGTCTCATGGCCTTTATCACCTACGCACCTCTGCTCCTGTTGGTTTGGTGGCGGATTCCCCTACCCTCATCCATGCTCAATTAGGTCATCCTAGCCTTGCCAAGCTTCAACATGATATTGTGCGAACTGCCTGTGTCAACTAGAATGATAACACGTTGCCCGTAGATCGTACCTTGAAATTTTAATGTTTGGGCGGATGGTTGCCCCGTAAGTGCGGACGTAGATAGATGAAAATGTGAGCCCATGGTGTTTTGAGAAGGAGAATCGGCGGGGGGTGTGTCAATAAGGAACGGGCAGGTGTCGGTTTCCTCCTCACACAAAAGAAGTAAGAATTTGGGGGTGGTACATCGGTGGCCGGGCATAAATTTTTCATCACAGTTATAACAAAGTCCCAAGGCTCGACGTTCTTGCATTTGTTGCATGGATAATTTTTTTATGGGAATTTTTGGGGTAGTGGTGGAGGTAGTTTGGGTAGGATCTGGGGGCGCGGGTAATTTGGTAGAGTTGGAAGCTTGGATGTGATGGGAGGGCGTGGAGGTGGGGAGGTGTGGGCGAGAGAATTTAGGCTTAGTGTCGGATAATTTTTCCTCCACTAGTTTAGCCATGCCAATAGCCTGTGTCAGGGTGCCGGGTTTGAGGATTTTGAGCTCACGCTCAATGGGTGGGCTTAAGCCCGACAGGAAACAATTCAACAAATTTTCATGGGATAAGCCAACAATTTTGTTACACAATTTTTCAAAAGAGGCCTGATATTCACCCACCGATCCAGATTGTTTGAGTTTGAATAATGTACCTTGATGATTTTCATACGTAGATGGTCCAAATCGTAGTTCGAGCGCTCGGCTAAAACATGTCCAATCCCCCAATTGATTCAAAGAATACATCCATTTGAACCAACTCAAGGCTTCGCCTTTCATATAGAAAGCTACCATAGGAATTCGTTGTTCCCAAGGCACTTGATAAAACAAAAAGAACTGTTCAGCCTGGAAAATCCAATCCAAAGGCTCAGATCCATCAAATAAGGATAGTTGTAACTTGGGAGGACGGATAATAATAGGAAACAGTAATCGTAATTGATTCCCTCATTAACAGAATGCACATGTGGTATATCAGACATAGATCACATGTAATAATGACTTCAAAAATGGCTTAGTTCAACAGGTTATAGATGCAATACAATACAATGCATAATGTTGATGGATTCAAGGTATAGATGTAATGCAATACAATGCATAATATTGATGGATTCAAGGTATATAGAAGCAGAAGTGCTTTCCTTTCATCATTAGATGAGTACCACGAGGAGAGAACAAGAGATCCTCCAAAATTGAGAAACAAGTAAGACCAAAAGTGTACTTTAGTATTGACAAATAACCAGAAGGGAAAACACAAAGATTTGTAGCAAACAGTTACTGTTGCTTTGATGGTCAAACAATTACAAAGAAGCGAAAAATGCCCTTGTTAGTGAATATTTGTGTTGTTGGAAAGTTGTCTTAATTGCAATTACCCCTGGCCCATCTTAGTTGAAACCTTTTTGGAGGCTATCTTAATTGTAGTCTCAAGGGTAGTGTTTGGTCCATATCAATTAGAGATATGACTTAAAAAACCTTATAAAACTTGAGTAATCCTCACTTTACTAGCTGGTCCATATCCTAATATGATATTGGGTGGTGTCTAATCCCACATAAACTAAAGATATGACTTAAATAGACCTTATAAAGTTTGGATAGCACATTACAAACTGACTTTATTAGGTTGAGTTAGACCTAAGTCAAAATTTAAAATATATTGAGTTTTGGAAAATGAAATACGTAGAGTTATTGAAGATGACAAAATAACAATAACAATGCTAATATGTGTTAAAAATAAATTAGAGAGGCAATGAGTTAAAAGAGTACATGTTTTATTTTTCCCTTATCTACTCACATTGGTTAGAGAATCTCTAATAACCAATTTTTCCAATTTAAAACCCGAGTGAATAAAGAATTCCAAGTATAAACACTTCTTTTCCTGATACCAGGCCTTCCAACAGTAGTGACCCAGCAGTAACATGGGAGGAGTAAGACTTGGTTTAACGGCAGGAATAAATTAATCACACTAGGGAACCTTATTTTCTATGATAGAATTTACTTTTACAACATCTAAAGCATTTAATTGTATATGGTTGGAATAATTAGACAGAAGTAGGATCCATAAGTGATGTAAATATAAATGAGGGCATGCAAGAATTAGAATTCGCAAAGAGTTTTGGAAAAACAAAGTTACCGGTAAGATCCTCCATGTTTGGTGGCTTCATGTCAATAATATTGAAACACTGATCACTGACCTCAAGATTCCACAAATTGATTCTAAGGTCGTCTGCCGAGAGAAGGGTCTCATAATCACTGTGGAGGTAACATGCCACTGTTATTTAATTTTGTAACCAAACAAGCCAATAAAATGAACGCATCCTCTTATATTGTTCTCACTCTGACAGAAAACGGGATATTAAGCATCCATGGTAAAAGGGAAGCAGAATGCACCTATTATTTGAGATGGAGTTAATATTGAAACTGTGAGCACAAGCATAAACCTTTTGGCACTTTGCGCGAAAAGGGTCTTCCATTCCACCAATCTGAGAAAAAAAATATCAACCAACAATCATGTATTTATACGTAATTTTTCTTTCTAACAGGAGTCAGAGACAAAACTCAAGCACTGCTATTTTCACAATAACCAACCTCGCCATCAATATCTTGAGACTGCAAAAATTTTTGAGGCGTTTTCTCTATCCATTCCAAACGATAGCCACTAGCAGCAGACTTGGTTTCCAGCCCCGGTATGAAACTCCTATCAGCCAAAAGCATATTTTCTGAGCACAAAGGAGGGCTAATTTCTTTAACTTGTTTCACCTTGTGTTCTTTAACCTACGCCAGAATCACCAAAAAGAAAGCAAGGTATTATTCAAATTTGGAACATAAGGTGAAACAGGTTAGAATCACCTTCAAATTGACAAATGGTAGAGAGCTAGTACTAGAATTTTAAATGACAAGGCAATGTTCTAACCTTCCACAGTTTAATTGTTTTGTCGTTGGTTGAAAGAATAAATAGCAAACCGTTGTGGGTCATCCACCACCTTACTTTGTTAATCTTCTCTTCAATTTCCACACTCTTTAGGTAATCAAACTACATATTACATAAACCAAGAATAAGAATAACAACTAATAAATAATAGAGTAAATACTCTATATACTAATTGTAAAATTACTTTGTCATCCAATCACTAATTGGTAGATGTGGTAAGTGAATTGTGTTTTTACTATAACTATCTAAAATAGTCATATTTATCTAATTTTTAATTGATCGATAGTGTAAACTTTTTTTCCAATTACATTATATAGTATATAAAATTAAACTCATATTCATAGTTTCTAATAAATAGAGAGACATGAAGGAAAGAGAGAAAAAAAGTATGATAAGATCGTTGATATGAAAGAAAAAGACAGAATTTATATATATTCATCATGGCATAAACAGAATATTTTATAGTATGTTTGTTAATATTTATATAGTCATGCTAAATTGCTATATATATAATTATAATTGACTACGGTGTCAAATTCAAACAATAGTATTATACAAAATATCTTCAAGGATTAAATTATACTTTTGATAAAAAATATTCATTTTGATAATTTCTCTCCTAAATTTAGGTAAATTTTTCCTTTTGAAATAATAATTGTTTTTAATTTTTAAACATGATTATAAATATTTTTTTATCTAATTCAAAACTTGAAACATGTCTTATTAGATTTATTTATATGAAAACTTTTGAACTTGAAGTTTAAATAAAAAAGTATTATAAATATAGTGAAAATTGCATAAAAAGAAATTTAAAAAATAATAAAAAATTCTAAATCTAATTTTATATTGCTGTGAGATATATCTTTAATACAATTTTTACTATATTTATAGTCCTTTTGAATCATCCAAATGTCTAATATTACAATTTTCATGTCTTGAATCAATAAAAAAATTGATTTAAAATTGTATTGTAAAATTAAAAATTATCATAATTTTAAAAGAACTAATTCAACCCAAAATGTTGTTCATCTTCTCTTTAAATAAGGTTTCAATTTTGAGTCTTTGTATGAAAAAAATGTGATTGTCAGAAAAGATCTGATTCACCCGAATAAGGTGATTAGATAGTTTTTAGTTAGATAATTTTTAGAAATTTTGTACCTATAACATATTTGTAAAAAAAAAACTGAAAAAATTAAGATAAAAGAGGAAGAATATAATCTAACCTCAACAAAGTATGATATGAATAATATAATAAGGACCATTTATGACTCATGAGCTTACCTCTGGCTCGTGGCTCTGAAATTCCGTCTTGTAACGAAATTCGGGATGCCGCGTAGTCGCGAAATCCTGCTTCTCCAAATCTCTTCGATTATTCGACGCCTAACAACAACGAAACACACCAGAGTTCAGATAAACGGCGTTTTGAATAAACGGATGCGAAGACGGTGTGTTGCATTGCATCGCGATACTCACATTCTTTTTCCTATCGTCTCGTTCGAATATCACAACGCGTCCACCTCGATCGCCAACGGCGAGGTAATCGCCGCGCTTCTCGAACGCGACGGTGGTTACGACGTCGTCTGAGGAAGATCAGTGAGACGAATCGGATTGCGAACGGAAATTGAAGGCGAGAAAACGCAAAGACACTAACCGTTTTGGAGAGGCTCGTCGGGAAGTCGTTGGCCGAGTACTTGAGAGAAGTTCCATCGGAGAGGAGCGGCGGAGGTGGAGTCGGTCATGGTCATGGCTGGTGCTAAAACGGCGGTGTCGTAGTCGTGCACGGTTTCATTGTGGTGTGGCTGGAGCGGAGAGTGGAGTTGTTATGGAAGATTGAGGAAGAAAACAAAAGGTGGGTTTGGGGTGTGTCGTTATCGTTCGTTCGAAGGGGAAATGCGCGCGCCACACAACGGCTTTCGGTGGGCTCGCGCCAGAAGATAGGCCCCGGTCCACAAAGTCGCTAAGACGGGCCATGTTGTGGACTTCACGATACCATCTTGCCAGAGCGTTTCCAAGAATATTGTTTGAGGAGAGATAGTGTTTTAGGATTTTTTTTTCTTCAAATTTATGAGAGAATTTTAATTTTTTTTGAAGGAATTTTATTTTTTTTAAAATTGTATATCTAACTCAATTTTTATTTATTATAATTAAATTTAAATATTTTAAAATATATTATCAATAAAATATATGGGTTCAGCGGTAGGGGTTGATCCACGCTTAAGCAAGGTCAGGGGTTCGAATCCTACCTTGTGTATGCAGCCGCGTTAAATCTTGTGCCTTGTGGATACTCCAGGGACGAACCAAAACAATAAAAAATAAATAATTTATATCTTTGAGAAAAATACAATAAATTAGTGTTTTCACAAACTGAAAAAAAGGTGGGTAGTTATTATTTTTAAAGAAGAAAATTATTCTTTTATATATATATATATATATATATATTATATTTTATCTTTAAATATAAATCAATAATAAAAATTAAAATATAACATAGGAGTATAATTGTTTTTTTTTTTAAAGATAAGAAAGATTATAAAGATGGTCGCAATGAGGATTAAACTTAGGTCCTCGTGCTTCTAACTACCCAAACTCCTTTCTACCTAGTGGTTGAGTATAATTGTCTCTATCAAAAAGAGTTATTCTCTTTATATAGTGTTTTAAATAAATTTAAAATTTTATATATCTAAATATCTATTTATTTAAATTTTAAATATAATTTATATATTTAAATATAATATTTATTTGTATACATAATTTATTTTAAATTTTAGTTATATATAACAAATATTTAACATGTGCATTACATATGTTAAATTTTTAGATATGAAGTAAGATTAAATTATATCAGTGTAACTTTTATCAACTATTACATTGATTAATAACTTTCAAGCGAATAATATATAGATCCTTTCATCTATTATATATAAAATTTCTATATTAATTCAAAGTTATTTAATATTTTATTTATGTAAATCAAAGTTAACATAATATATACTCTTCAAAATATATTAAAATATAAATAAGTTGATTACTTTCTTATTATTGTTAAATTTTAACAAAATTCGATATAAAGACTCAAAATAATATAAAGTTATAATTTAACAGTTAAATTGACAAAATTTACTTTTTATATAAAATTATTGATTAGTATAATTAGTTGTCAAAATTATATGGTATAATTTGATATTTTTTTATATATTTAATTTTTTTCTAGGTAAACATATTTTTAGATAGCTTATTTTAATCCATCTAAAACCCCTCAAGTTTGATTTTTTTTAATATCACTTTTTTAAATAAATCACATATATTCTTTATTAAAAACAATCCTGTTCATATAAGTAAGTTGAATATGAAAAATAAAATTCTTTAAATATTTAACATGACTACATACCTATACTCAAAATTAAATTAAGATTATTGATTAAACTAAAATCATGTGCTTGCTAATTCCGGTGTTCCTCAGTAATGAACTTTAAATTGATCTTTTCTTAAATATTTATAATTTATTTTTATATATATGCTACCTTTATTTACATATATCCTGCAATCCACAGGATAATTGCTAGTTTCTCATCACATGATGCCATCCAATATGAAAGCAAAATAAAGCATATAAGTATGGTTGATAGGCATATAAAACTCATCACTTATTGTGATCAATCATATGATCGAACAATGCAACAAAATTAATGGAGCAGTAGATCCCAGTCTCTCTCACTCGTGCAGGGGTCCATATAGACCATCAAAAATTGCAGCGTGAATTCCCTCTGTTGGTTTCCAATGGCGCTTTCTTTGGTTTATAAACCAATTATTTACTTGCTTCTGCTCTAAACCAGTCCATTCAGCTAAGGCAACCTTATCCGCGTCCTGGCCAATCAGACCATAGTCCAAAATTATTAGGTGATTTAACTTTATTAAATGTCTATGTGATATATAGTTAGAAATTATGTAATTTAATATCATCTAATAATTTTTCTCAACAAATTTTTTTAGACAAAAATATTTGAATGAACATTGAACAACTATTTAGTTAAAAATTTGTTAATTACAGGATTTATTTTCTTCATGAGTTTATACGTAAAAAAAGACTTATTAGTTTAAGTCAAAAACTGTTTATTTTGACAAAGTTTCATCAAAAAGCCTTTTGCATAATCTAAAAAAAATAATTATAAATGTTATAAGGAAAAAGAGTGTCATATTTGTACACCTTACGTCCACTCAACGTACGTATATATGTATGTGCATAAATATGATTAATTTCATTTTATAAGTGGCTAATATATAATAAAAAAAATCACTTGAAATTATAGAAAATTATTGATATATGAATATATGATGATAATGTCACGGCTTTATTAAAATTTCAAAAAGTGATTAATTTTGTATAACAAATGGTAAACAGTATCATGAAGTTATGATTATCACACATACACTTATATAACTTGTTAACTAATTAATTTATATTGCAAGTATTATCATACAATTATTGAAATATTTAATAATGATTATCTTTAACTATTAAGGACTAATATTAACCACGTTAAAATTATATATAATTATATTCTTTTACTTTTTTAATCACTTATAAAATAAAATTAATCACATTTGTATTCATAATTAATCATATCTAGGTGAATGTTAGATGGATAGAAGGTTCATCACTATTCATGTTATAAATTAATGAGCAATAATTTTTTGATACTTTTTTTAAACACTTCATTAATACATTTTTTTTCTCACTATTATCACATATCATGTCATCTATTATCCTTGTAATTTTCTCTCTTTTCTCTCATCAAGTGTCAAGTAGCATTATCAGGTGTCAAAAAAATATTTTTCCTAAACTAATTTCACATAAGCTCTTTGTGACTTGTTCTAAATGCTTCATTAAAATCAAACCAAGGCAAGTACGTACATGGACTAAACACAATTCCACACCAATTGTTGTAATTAACAGTAACAGTAATGCATGGAAGAAAACATTCTTACAGTTGGGTACGGCCATTTAAAATGAAGATTCCACCATGCAAGTAAGATTTGTTTTGCTTCTTTTGGTAGCTTTTCTTTTTTCTTCTTTTTGGAAAATTCATGCTTCAGATTAGTAATGTAACCGCTATATCTACGTAGAAGGTTACTCTTCATCTCTTGAACTTCATTTACCCTCTTGCACTCATTTGCCTCTTTCTCCTCCCTACTCAAATCTTTTCCAGATGATCCAGTAACTTCATCTATCACATGAAAACACAAATCATTAATTATAATAATAAACCAAGCCTACAAAAATTGTGTAACAATGTGGTAATGCAGTTTGAACTTATGAGTTATATATGCAAACTACTCAAAATTTTCACCGTTAACCCAACCCTAATAAAAAAAACACAACCCTAGTAGCTTTTTTATGCATCTCTATATATGAGATACATGCTTGACATAGTAAATACATACGAAATTAAACTATTGCAAATAAAACTTAATAAGCTTTTACGAATATATAATAAATAACGTTGATAAACATCCATATAGAATATTGACACTTAACAAGCAAGATAGATATGTGCAATGACTAGTACTTATGATGAGATTCTTTCTTTTCTTTTTCGAAAGCCAGCGTAAGAAATAATTTATAGAAAATATAAACTTTTAGAAAGATTAAAAACTTATTGTGTGTTTTTCTCAATTTTATAATCTAAAATTTACAATTTCTTTTGCTGAAAAAGAAAACAGCTCTTCAAGTGGACATATTGTGTGGATTTAATATACTTTCATTAGTCAAATGAACAGGAACAAAAGGAGATGGACAAGAAAGAAAAAGAAGAGAATAGAACAAAGTATTAATTGTTTTAATTTGTTTGGTAGAGATTGAGAAACGATCGGATCAGAATTCTACTATCCTTATATATTTGACAGTTAGATGCATAAGAATAAAATTAGACTTTTTATAAAAAAAAAAATTGTTTTAAATTTAGTAGTAGTTCTCCCATTCCATATTCCTAATTTTGAAGAACAAAAATCTGACATTTGAGGATAAAAGATGTGAAATTAATCCTTTTTGTTTTTTTTCTTTCCCT